GTTTTTTTCCCCCCCCCCCCCCCCCCCCCCCCCCCGACCAACCCCCCGTGTCAGGCCAAGCTGTTGGAGCACAATGTGCGGTTTGGCGACCCTGAGTGCCAGTCCCTGATGGTGCGGCTGCAGTCCGATTTGCTCGAGTCGATGCTGGCACAGTGCCGCGGCGAGCAGGTGCGCGGTTGGTCATGAAGGGCAAATGGGCTGGCGGCAGGACAGCGCACTGGGGAAACCGCCCATGCCATGTTTGCTTCAAATCAGGCACCCCGGGTGGGGAGGCTGGCAGATGACCATGCCCTGGCCTCGTCCCGTCCTGGAACACCCGCTGCTGATGCAGCCACTGCTGGTGTGATGCAGGTCAAGCTGGAGTGGAGCGCTGACCCTAGCTTGACGGTGGTGCTGGCGGCCAAGGGTTACCCGGGGCCATATAGCAAGGGCGGCGCCATCCACAACCTGGAGGCCGTTACCGGCGCCAAAGTGTTCCACGCTGGCACATCCATGAAGGATGGGCAGGTGGTGTCCACAGGTAGGCAGAGGACGTTGTTGCCATGCCACACAATGCAGATCTGCTCCTATTGTGCGAGGGCACAAGTGTGTGTGCAGCAGTGATTGGGCGCCCGCAATCTAGCCTCCTTGCCCATGCGGGTTGTTGTTGTTTGTGCAGGTGGCCGCGTCCTGGGTGTGACCGCCACTGGCAAGGATGTGCTGGAGGCGCAGCAGAAGGCGTATGCGGCGGTGGACACAATCGCCTTCCCAGACGGCTTCTGCCGTCACGATATTGGCTGGCGGGCGGTGGCGCGGCTGCGGGCGGAGCAGGCTCGATAGCTCACTCCTGCCTGCCATTTCAAGCGGCGTTGTGATCCCAATTTTGGCCTGTGACACTGTGTACTGACTTCTGAGTTATTTGCTCCCTGTGAAATGCACGCCGGTGGCACCGTCGCAGCAGCCATAGGGCACAGGGCGAGCACTATTCTCCTGGCAGCCTCCACTTGCGATTGCTACATTTGCCCCAATGTTTACTGCCCTCTGTATGACATGAAAGAGCGGCATAGGCATTGGTCGCATGCGCTCGCCACCGCGCCAGCTGTCGAAACCGCCCGCCGCCATGTCCCCCGCCCACCTCGCGCACCCTCCTGCGCCCTACAAATGATTCACAGCAACCATGTCGTCCGCACACCGGAAGCCTGGTCCTCTCTCTACGCAATCCCAAACCCCACAAACATGTGAAAACGCCTACGTGAATCGCATGGTGGCTGCGCCAACTTGGCAAAATGGTACGGGACTGGGGCCGCACATCGCCGCCTGCGCGTCGTCCAGGGCGGAGCATTCAGCAGGCTGTGCCAGCTGCTACCAGCTCGCTGTTCAACATGACCTTGGAATCAAAGGGTTGCAAATGTGCAGCCTGGGCATGAATGGAATGAAAGACAGAGATGGCAATGCAGTGCAGATGAGGAAGAAAAAACCAAAAGCAGAGGATGAAGGCCTGCCTGCCCGCGGCACATCACAGCGCTAGGCCCTGGGTGACTGCTGCTGCCACTGCTGCCGCGGACGCAGCGACGCCCGCTGCGCCAAGTGCGCGAGCCCAGATGTTGCCCTCCTGCCCCTCCCTCTCCTCAGCATCCTTCAGCGCCTCCTGCGCGGCAGCCTCCTGCTCCTCCCTGCTGCCCCATGCATCCTGCTTCCTTGCAGCCGCCTCCACTGCCTGCCGCTGCGTGCCCGTCTCCCCTGCAGCCTGCTGCTCCTTCACTTCCTCAGCCGCCAAAGGGGTAGCAGGTGAAGGTGTCGCCGCTCGCGGTGTCTGTGCCTGCTGTGCCCGCTCCTCCAGCTGCCGCTCGCCCTCCTTCTGCGCCTGCTGCTGAACGCCGGCATCTGTAGTGCCAACGGCTGCGGCCTTGGCCGCAGCCACGTGCCCAGCATCGCGCTCCTCCTTACGTTCTGCTGTCTCCATCTCGCCCTCCAGCTCCATGCTTTGCATCCAGGAAATCGTGTCGCGCTTGCCTGCAGGCAAGAGCTCAACCCCCCCCCCACCCCAGGTTGGTAGACCTTCATCGTGGCTGGTGACGTGGTGCAAAAGCATGCCCAATTACAAAATGCCTGTCCAAACAGGCACAGCAACTGCGCAGGAGATTAAGTGCACATACCCTTTTCAATCATCGCCGCCACGATGGCCTCATCTGCAGGTTCGAATGCCCATTGCACCATTCTGCAACCAACCGGAATGCCAGCAAATATTTATGGCACATTGCTCCAGTGATAACAAACTCAAAGGTGCATTGCTGCTCGACTTACTGGCGCAAGCTGTATTCCCAGGGCTCAAACGAATCTGGGCTGATGCCAATCCTGCAGATGGTACAAGGCGGAAGGCAAGCAACATGGCATTGTGTGGGGGGACCGACAACATATGGACGCCCTCAGGCGCAGGACAACACTGTGGCGTCGGACAACATTACCTGTAGACTGGGCTAAGCTGGCGGGAAGGGAAGCAGCAGATACGGACGCCCACAGTCCCGGGGGGCAGCGGAATGAAGTTGGTCAGCCCACCGTCACAGTGCCGCTCACCGCGGAACTCTACACGAGGGGGGAGGCAAATGAGGTGGCATCAGTAGTGAAAAGAGCAGCAACGTGCCTTGCAGGCTAGCATGTGCCTAGCAAGCCAGCACGTTGCTGTGCTTGGAAATCAGTCGCAAGCAGCACAAACCTGTGAACGCATTGCCATCGAGCCAGAACGGGATGTGGCAGCTGGTCATGAGGGCCTGGATGAGGTCGGCCCTACTGCTAAAATCAGACACCAGCAGGGGGCGGGCAATGGGAGTAACCTTGGTGACTGCCACGTAGGCCTTGTCCTTGCATTTGAGGTGGGCATCCTCTGGCAGGTGCTCCCTGAGAAACGAGTGCAGCACAGCCTGCGGCAGTGGCAGCAGGGCATGTCAGGAGAAGGTTGGGAAGAGCTCCACCCTTCCTACCCCAGCTCAAATGTGGTATCAGTGTGGATGCTGGTCAACTCCACGCACCCCCAGCCTGCCACGCGTGCCACCCTGGCGCAGGTCTGCAAGTAGACGCAAGTTCTGCTCCACGATGTTGTCCAGCGGCATCCCCGACTTGATGCACGCGGCCAGCAGGGAGCCGGCGGAGGCACCCCCAATCTTGACTCGCTCTACGGGCAGGCGAGCGGACAGCGAGGAAGCAGTCCATGCTGCACGGATCGACACCTGCTGGCTGGGCAGGGCAAAGCAAGGCATGCACCAGGCATGCACCAGCGATGAAAAGGCACAGGCAAGGCTCCCACCTGTGAGGATGCCGGCGTCGATCAGTGCTCCAGCGCTGCCGATGTAGTATGGAAACAGGCACCCCCCTGCATGTTTCAGCCAGCAATGATGGCAGGGAGGCCAGCAGGCAGCACAGCCACCCAGGCAGCCAAATGTGGGGTGCACCAGTCCAACTCATGTCCCTCGGCTGCCGACGCACTGAACGAGTCATGCAGGTGTGTTCAAACCAACCACCGCCCTACCCGCGGAGAAGCCAAAGCTGAGGTTGCCTTCCTTGATGGCCTGCAAACAGCAGAATCAGGAGTGGGTGCAGCCCCCGCCGCGAACTTCTAAAAAACATGACGCAGGCCCATTTCACAATTTGTGCCACTCACTTGCTGCACATCCTGCTTGTGGGAGGCATCATCCACCACCAGCGTGCCGCCCAACTGGTTGCCGAGGCGGCGGAAGTCAAGGTTCCTGGCAGCGCTCAGGATGCCCACCGCCCGCCGCTGCTGGTCTGCCGTCAGGCCAGGGCCGCTGCCTTTACCGCCACTCCCGCATACAACCTGCAGCGCTCGCTGGGTGCCCCGGCTGGCTGCAGCGGCGACGGTGCCACCCATTCGCATTGTGGCAGCTGGGGAACTGCAATAATTGATGCCTGAGTGATGCTTCTTGGGAATTTATAAAGAGACGGGTGAGAGAGGCGAAGCCATACCGCAAGGGCCCTGGTGCCTAGCTGCACCTCCTGGCGGGCCAAGGATTTTGGCCCTGGAAGCTCCTTGCGCTGTATGCGTCCTTAAACGACCTGGATCAAGCCCCCGGATCCATGCCAGCTTGGCGCCGGCGCCTCCCTCTTGGCGGTGGCGGCGCCATGCCCCGCCGTTTGTTTGCTGAGCCTCAGCACATGCATGCCTCTCCATAATCTCACAATTGAGTATAATGCTTAGCAGTAGGTCCCTGCCCAACTATTTTACAATCAACCGGAGAACCGGGCACCTGCCTGTTACAGGCTGTCGAGGCCTTTGCAATGCTTTGCCCCCAACCGAGCCCCAGCGCTGGTGCATGATCGGCAATGCCTCAACTGGCTTGCATACCCTCTAATGAATGAACAAGCGCAAGACCTGAAAAACAGCAAGCTAACAAGTAGACTGCCACAATGAGGATTGAGGGTGCTGGTGCACAAATGCCTCGGCCGATGCGACATGCTTTTCCAGCGAATCTTCAAGGAACTTGGAGTCCTCAATCAAGCCCACCCGCAACAGCTGCGAGTACAGATCTTCATAAAGGAGAGGGCCAGTGTGGTTGCGTCGCGCCAGTTCAGCGTACCGACACCGATCGAGGTCGGCAAAAGAGCGTGAGGTGATTGCACGCCGGTGCACATGCCGCTTTGTAATGCCCATCTTGTGCGAGCCCACGCTGCCAATGTAGTTGCAACGCGCCACCAGCGGCATCGTCTCAAACCAGCTGTTCGCTTGCATGACCTGACCCAGCCGCACGTCCCAAGGCCTCTTGTCGCGTGGTTTCCACTCAGCGCCCAGCGCATCCCAGGTGCGCCGCCACAGCGCCCAGCCCCACGGCTGGAACCAGCGGTCCACCCAATACTTGTCCAGCAGGCCCAGCTGCTGCACCATCAGCAAATCGTGGGCCTCCACAGCGCCGTGGTGGAAAGGGAAGGAGGTGGACCAACACGTGGCGAGGGCGATGTCGGGGCGGTCAAATATCAGGCCGCTGGTCACGTGCCACTCAAACCAGCGCAGCGCGTCGCGCTCCACCACAATATCGTCCTCCAAAATCACGGCAAAGTCGCTCAGCTCCATGGCGCCTGCCACTGCTCTCCGAATGTTGCGCTTCAGCCCGAGATTGGCCTCCGCAGCATTCACCACCACGTCCCGAAAGCCCAGGCTGGCATTGCGGGCCAGCCATGCCAGCTGATGCGAGTAGGTCACAATGCTCTGCCAGCCTTCCTGGTCAAAGCTGCTGGCGTTCTGTGGCGGGCCGTCAATCCAGATGGTCACCACATACTCGTGTGCGCCCCATGCCTGCCGCAGCGCGTCGATGACCTGCCGAAAGTACTCGAAGCGGTCAAAGGCGATGATGGCCACCACCTTGTTGAAGCGGAAGCCCGGAGGGAGCGCGGCCGCTGGCATCGCCTGCTCAAGCTGCTGGTTAACTGCTGATCCTGGGCGCCGCTGCTGGCTGGCACCTGGCTGCTGCAGCTTTGCTGCCGCCAGCACCAAGAGGATGGCCAGCAGTGCTGCTGTGTAAGGGTGTCGTGGAACACGCCTATATCGTCTGACAGCATCAAACAAGGGAGATGACATGCCTGCCTGAACCTACAACCGGGAGCAAATTGTGTGTCCCCAGGTTGAGTGAAATTGCAACGTGATGCGAGACGGCTGCGGCAGCGGGAGAGGCGGTCAGTGGCAGCAGCCGACTGCACGACTTGCGCAGCACCTGCAGCCTGTTGTCATCTATTCATTCAGATTAATCTAATGCCGTGGTGCAGCGGCGTCAAGACACCAGGAAATCAGTGTGCTTGTGTAAACTGTGCCTCGTGGCCCTGAAATTGTCGGTGAATACATGTAGAACAAAATGGAGGATGCAGAGCTCCCATTGCATTCCGACTGAAGTTACAACAAAGTACACTGCTGGTGCCAGCAGCGCGCGATCGTATTGCCCGCATTTGGAATAAAGGCAGAAGCAGAAAAATACCAGCAGATCACATCCTCTCTCATCGGCACTCCGCCGCACGGCCCGTAGCAACTTTTGAAGTCAAGGCTGTTGGCGGCTGGAGGTCCTTGCTCGGTGCTGCGAGGCGGTGCTATGTAGCACTGGGGTACCCTAGAAGGTCGAGCGCCTTCACGCCGTCAGACCCAACCCCGGTGCCGCCGCTGCCGCTGGCAAACCTGCTGCAGGTATGCTGGCAGCACTGCTCTTGATGCGTGTTGCGGCACTGCTGGGCCCTCTGAAGTACAGTCAGCGGTGTGTATTGAGATGCCAACTGTTGCAGGGTTGCAGCTTGCACCACTGGCTGGCCCTTCGCTTGCCCTGGTCACCACGGCAGGGAGCAGCCGCAGCATCAACACGTGAACACCGCTGTTGGGCATGAGCGTTGCTGGCAGCGGAAGGTCCCCTTCCACACCATCCAACAAGCAGCGGAGACCACCCACAGCTGCCGCTGCCAGTGCCGTGGGTCTGTTGGCACTTGTGGCGGTGAGCAAGCATGTTCTGCCCCAATTTGATAAACCTATAGCATTGCGGCACCATGCTGGGTTACTGGGAGAGCCGACGTGCTGTACGTGTATGCAGGCATGGAGCAGTGTGGACTCTCTGCGGAGCAGCCTGCCTCTGGCAGCACCTGCTGGCGCGGGTCACAGCATGCTAGCTGGCGCTGGGCAGTGGCGTGCCGGCCAACAAGTCCCGAGCGCTATAGAGCTGGAGCTGGAGGCAAGCCTGCAGCGGCGGCAGTGTCCACCTCATGGAAACAGATCCAATGTCAGCTTTGCCTTTCTGCATGTGCCAAAGACAGCAGGTGAGAGCTTTATGGGCAACTTGCCCAGCCCATCGAGTCTGGACCTGACACGTCGGAGGCTGCTGTCACCTGCCCAACAGCTGTGCCAACTCCTCGCTCACACCACAATCGTGTGTGCAGGCAATTTTCTGGTGAAGATATTGAGGCGCGCGCTGCCCGCAGATGGCAGCGGGCGGTACTGCCAAAAACGCCAGGATTACAGCAATCATGCAAATTTTCCTTGTGTGGAGAGGACTGGGCTGGCTCCACAGCATCTCCAGCTGCTGGCCGACCTCAAGGCCAACTTCACCACCGTGTGCAGCGGGTTCAATGTGCACCAGGACTACGGCTTCTTTCAGGCGCTGGGCATCGACCATTCCCGCACCCTGACCATGGTGGCCCTGCGGCACCCAGTGGAACGCACTCTCAGCCACTACTACTTCCAGATGAGGATCATGCAAGACAACCGCAAGAATTTCCTCTTCTGGCCCAAGAACGACTCCGATTATTCTGGCCTCATTGCGTTTGGATCTCAGCAGCGCCAGCAGGCCAACTACCACACCTACATGCTGGCTGGAGCCATGGGCTGCCGGTGGCCTGGAGGGCCAGCTCCCCCCACTAGCGACGCCGAGATTCTGGAGCGTGCTAAGCGCAACCTGGAGAAGTTTTGCGTGATTCTGATCACGGTGCGCTAGATGGCATTCACGCCGCTGGCACGCTGGCGCGAAATTTGGCCAAGTGCCCATTGTTTCTCGTCCTGAATCCAGCCCTGAATTTGCTGCAGGAATACATGGATGATTCGGTACAGATGCTGGGCGAAGCTACTGGCTGGCCCGACTCTGTTCTCTTCCGTGACGTGAGATCCTCTAATGCGACGCCGCGCCCAAAAGTGCCGCTATCAGCAAAGCGCGCCCTGCAGGCTGCCAACCACCTGGACATGCAGCTGTATGAGTATGCAGTGCAGCTGTTCCTCAGACGCGGCAGCCAGGCAGCAGCGGCCACCCTGCAATAACACACGCGCAGGCCATTGGCGGACTGGGGTTTTGCAGCTTGAAGTGCCTCCAGTCCCTTGCCAAGCCCGGCCTGCGTTTCTTTGTTTTGTGAGGGTGCTGCCTGGCCTGCAAGCTGTAAGCTTGCCGAGGCCGACGTGGCTTAGAAGCCGTCAGTCAACCCGGTTAGCCGGTGCAAGGGCTCTTTGCTGCAGCCCCAGCCAGGTCAGGGTAAGCGTATCGAGATGAACACGGCCCTGTCCCTTCTCCGGTGTCAAATTGGACTGGCACGTGCAGCGCACGTTGCGGCGGGGTTGGCAGGCGGACGGCATTGAGCGGTGGCGGCTGGCAGCAGATCTTGAAACCGGCAGGCCTAACCTGCCAGCAGCATGCTCAACATTGTCCAACATGTTCAACAGTGAACAAAACAATCATCCAGGACCGGAGGTACCTGTACTGCTGAGCTACAGAGCAGCTGTACTGCTGAGGGTGCCAATCACGCGCTTTCAAAACGCTGCAGTTCGGCTTTTTGTCGTTCGATTAGCTGTGTGTCAACGATTAGCATGCGACGAGTCGAGGCTCTTTGCTTCAAACGTACGAGCACTCAGCGCTTTGAAAACAACACAACACACCCGGCATCGCAGGCAGACATATTGGACTGAGTCGCACCTCCCTGTTTTCGGCAGGAGCGCAGTGTCTAGCGGCGGCCGCTGCGACGGCGCCCCGGCGGCAGCCGACACGCTGGCGCGGTAGGCTGCTTCCGCCTGCTGTAGCCCCCATGAGATAGATGGCTGCTGCCTCCAGAAGAAGTGGGCGGGGTCGGCTGGTGGTAGGTGCGACTTCTGCCACTTGTTAAATCCATTCCACTTCACGGCCACCCCCAAGTTTACTGTGTTGGCTTGCTGTGCAGCGCTGACCTGTGCCGGGTGGGCAATTCTCATGCTCTTTGCCCCATGGCTCTTTCTTGGCGGCAGAGCGGTGGAGCGGCGGAGCGGCGCGGCCCCTGCAGCTCCTGCTACGGCAGCTGCAGCACGCCGCTATTATGTGCTGGCAACAGTGGCCGACCTGGAGGTGGCCATGCTGAACGTCTTCCTTCAGTCCTGGAAGCGCTACTCACCACACACGCACATTGTACTGTGGGTGGAGCGAAACACCACGCTTGCCGACCATGGCGTGCCCATAGAGGTGATTCGCTTCGCCCAGACCGAAAACATCAAGCTTGTCAAAATGCAAAGGTGGGCGGGCTGAGCTCTGGGGTAGCCATGAACACTGGAGAGGCCGGGCGAGGACTGTGTGGCAGGTGTTGCTGGCTACCATGCTATCAGTAAGCCTCCTCGCTGCGCTGGAGCTGTCTCCATACCCATCATGGCGTTTTCAAATGCAATGCTGTGCCATGCTGCAGGTATGCGCTGTACAAGCCATATCTGGAAGACCTGCTTCGTCGAGGATACACAGGTGGAGTCGTCCTTGCTGATGCCAGAGATGTGTTCGTTCAGTCGGATCCCTGGCAGGACACGATCCTCCAGATGCTGGTGGCCCAGGTGTGCAATGCAAGCTAGTGCTCCGCCTCCATTCACCAGCATAGCAGTGTGCAGTGCGCCTTGCTCCTGGCACCGAGCTTGTCTCAGGCGCGACAACGATGTGAATGTAGGATTCCCTGCTGTTCTCGCTGGAGGGCAGACCTGAAGATGGAGAGGGGAAGCCCATTCACGAAAGCATAGCGAACCACCGTTGGCTAGGAATCTGCTTTGGGCGCAGAGTCCAGAAACGCCTTAAAGATAGGCCCATCTCCTGCTCAGGTGGGCATGCGGCATAGTTTTTCTTCGTGTGTGTGTGTTTCTTGAGGGGATGGTTTCAGGGAGGCAAAGGTTATCCTCAGTTTGGAAGTGATGCAGTAGTTGCTTGCCAGTGGGCTGACGCGGCTGCCCTCCTGCAGGTGTGACTGTTGGTGGGCTGGGCGCAGTCGCCGCTTACGTCAGCCAGCTGCTGCACGTGGCATTCGAGGTCGCCAAGCCTGGATGCAGGTTTGATGCCACTTGCTTGATGTGCAGCAGGCCTCACTTACTGCTGCCCCACGTGTGCTCACTCCCTGTGCCGCCCTCCTGGTGCGCCCAGGGAATCCAACGGTGCCGACCAGGGTGTCCACAACTTCCTGCTGCACGCTCTGGGCCCGGAGGGCAAACTCAATTTTCATTACCATGTGCTCAAGAATTGGGACAGCCCGGTGTTCACGGCAGGTGAGCACGCAACACATTTGGTGCTCCTAATTGTTTCATCCGGATCAAATGCTGTTTCCTAGTGTTGAGATGCAGAGAGTAAGCCACTGCAGCATTGATGCGTGAAGCACTGCATTGCAAAACTGGCACAACACAGCGCAGAGTGCTCTGTGCCTGCAGGCTACGGGTGGCCGCACCACTTGGACACGTTTGGCGTGTTTCAGCGTAGGAATGGCAGCACGCCACCCATTGTACATCAGTATGACAAGAGAGGAGGGGTGCCGGCCATCATCAAGGGCATGTACCCTTTGCTGGATGACGACTATCGTGTGTTTGGGCCCAACGAAGCGGCCACGGCACCGGCAGTGCCTGTCCTGTTGAATGTCTGCAGATTCTGCAGGAGCTGACTCAGGCCGCCCTTTGATGCGGCTCGATTTCATTCGTAAATGCAGTGGCATGTGAGGTTGCAGAACATTATTGCTGCAGATTCATTCCTTGCCAAATCAATGAAACAGACGGCGAACAAGCAAGAATAAAACAAAGCAGTGCAGAGCAGCAGCAGTGGAGAGATTGCATAGATCAAACAGTTCAAGAGCGACGAATCAAGTGACAAGGAGTCAACAGGTAGAGTGCCATGGGGCAGGCTGCTTGCGCAGGAATTCTGAGGCTGCCAGCAGGTGCTCCTCAAAGGAAGCATTGGCATACCGAACGTCGTTGCCACCCAGCCCGCGCCTCACAAAGTCGTAAAGCTCCTCGAGAGCAACCTTGCCTGTGACGTTGCGGCGCGGCAGCTCGGCGTAAGTACAATGCGCCAGGCTGGCAAAGGATCCAGAGGTGACTGCCCGGCGGTGCACATGCCCCTTGGCGACACCTTTCTTGTGGAAGCCCATGCTGCCAATGTTGTTGCAGCGCGCCACCAGCGGCATCGTGCCTACCCAGCTTCGCTCCTGGATCTGGCGGCCCAGCTTCTTGTCCCGGCCGTTCCACTCAGCGCCCAGTGCATCCCAAGTGCGCCGCCACAGCGCCCAGCCCCACGGCTGGGCCCAAGAGTAAAGCCAGTACTTGTCCAGCAGGCCCAGCTGCTGCACCATCAGCAAATCGTGGGCCTCCACAGCGCCGTGGTGGTAAGGGAAGGAGGTGGACCAACACGTGGCGAGGGCGATGTCGGGGCGGTCAAATATCAGGCCGCTGGTCACGTGCCACTCAAACCAGCGCAGCGCGTCGCGCTCCACCACAATATCGTCCTCCAAAATCACGGCAAAGTCGCTCAGCTCCATGGCACCAGCAACGCTGCGCTTCTTGTTGGCCCAGACCCCTACGTTGGTCTCCGCAGCATTCACCACCACGTCCCGGAAGCCCAGGCTGGCATTGCGGGCCAGCCATGCCAGCTGATGCGAGTAGGTCACAATGCTCTGCCAGCCTTCCTGGTCAAAGCTGCTGGCGTTCTGTGGCGGGCCGTCAATCCAGATGGTCACCACATACTCGTGTGCGCCCCATGCCTGCCGCAGCGCGTCGATGACCTGCCGAAAGTACTCGAAGCGGTCAAAGGCGATGATGGCCACCACCTTGTTGAAGCGGAAGCCCGGAGGGAGCGCGGCCGCTGGCATCGCCTGCTCAAGCTGCTGGTTAACTGCTGATCCTGGGCGCCGCTGCTGGCTGGCACCTGGCTGCTGCAGCTTTGCTGCTGCCAGCACCAAGAGGATGGCCAGCAGTGCTGATGTGAAAGGCCGGGGCAGCCGCTGCAGATGGGTTCGCCGCTTCGTTCCATCACCAGGGACTGGCATGTGTGCCTGCGGTAGCACCAGGACATGAGCAGCATTTGCTGTTTTTGCTGCATCAAGGAGCAATTGCACCAGTCTCATGCGTATCTGCAGAGCCTCTTGACGGCAGGCAGGCGGGCAGGCGGGCGGGCAGCAGGCGGCGCCAGGCCTGGCGGGCAGGCAGGCGGCGGCATTCGGCCAATGATGACTGGTGGCCGCACCCAATCGCACCTGCCACTTCGACAGGCCCACGGCCTCCAATTTTACACGCCTCCAATTTCACACCTAACTCATCGTGGACACGTCAAGTGGGCAGCGGCGACCAGGGCAGCTTGGATGCGTCCCTCGTTTCAAAGTGTTTGTTTTCTGCAGTGCTTGCGATTCGAGCGCTCAAGCCGGTACACCGTACCGCCTCTTGCCAGGCGAGATGCAATGGAGGTCAATTCGTAGCTAATACACACGCACACGCGAGCCGGTCACATAGATCATAACTGCTTCCGCCACTTGACATTTTGCAAGCCACCTGATCTTTTGCCTCTCCAGCTGAAGCTAGTCACAATTGGCCTCTCATACAGGTGTAGTCTGCAGGCGGCATGGGCTGCGCCGCCCCCTCAACCGACTCCTGCAGTTGGCCGCCCCCTCAACCGCACCGTGCTGCACGTCGGCGAGAGCGGCTCAACACTCTGTGTGCACTACTTGTCTGCTTGATCGTCTAAAGGACCTGTTGCCCTTCGCAGATGTAATTTCGGCACGTTGGACAGTAACCAATGGGAGCCAGCAGGCTACCGCCTTCTGTACCGCGTCGTAGGCCCGGTGCTGCCGTCACTGCGGCCCTTGCGCTTGTGATTGCCATGGCGGTGAGTGGGATTTGTTTGAAGGAAGCCATCCAGAGCCATATGCTGAACCAATGCTGCAGCACAAGCCATGATCATTGCTGTGCGCTGGATGGCATTTGCAGGCTTGGAGTCTGTCGGGCTCCTTGCGCAGCAGCTCAGCAGCACAAGCAGGCAAGAGTTGCCGCTGTTCCTCTTGCAAAGTACCCCATGACGTCACTTCAGCTCCTCTGATGGAGCAGTGCCAAAGCGCAATTGCATTGCTGCCACAATGCAGGCAGCATACATAGCGGCGATTCGGAGCTGCACGCGCAGGGCGCCACACGGAGCAGTGCTAGTGATGCGGAGCTGGAGGCAGGCTTGCAGCGGGGGCAGTGCCCTTCCCTGGGCAGCGGTGCAAACCTGAGCATTGCCTTCCTCCATGTGCCCAAAACGGCAGGTGGGTGGGTGGGGATCCAGCAGCAGTGCAGCAGGCCACCTCGCCCCCGGCACCTCGCCCGGCAGCTGATGCGATTGCCAGGTCATTTTTCCTGCTGCGAACCATTCTTCAGCTTGCCAATGCCACTGCAACCATCAATCAGGCAGTCATTTCACCTCTATGCCATTTGCGCCCTGCAGGCAACTTCTTGCAGAACATCATGAGGCGTGCGCTGCCCGCAGAGAGCAGTGGGCGGTTCTGCATAAAGAGGCGGGACTACAGCGAGTTTGCCAATGACCCCTGCAACAGAAAGCAAAAGCCGGGACACCTGCAGTTGTTGGCCGACCTCAAGGCCAACTTCACCACCGTGTGCAGCGGCTTCAACGTGCACCAGGACTACGGCTTCTTTCAGGCACTGGGTATCGACCACTCCCGCACCCTGACCGTGGTGGCACTGCGGCACCCAGTGGAACGCACGCTCAGCCACTACTACTTCCAGATGAGCTTGATGCAAGACAACCGCAAGGGTTTCCTCTTCTGGCCCAAGAACGACTCTGACTATTCTGGCCTCATTGCGTTTGGCTCTCGACAGAGGCGGCAGGCCAACTACCACACCTACATGCTGGCTGGAGCCATGGGCTGCCGGTGGCCTGGAGGGCCAGCTCCCCCCACTAGCGACGCCGAGATTCTGGAGCGTGCTAAGCGCAACCTGGAGAAGTTTTGCGTGATTCTGATCACGGTGCGCATCAGATGGCATTCGCGCCGCTGGCACGCTGGCGCGAAATTTGGCCAAGTGCCCATTGTTTCTCACCCTGAATCCAGCCCTGAATTTGCTGCAGGAATACATGGATGATTCGATACAAATGCTGGGAGAGGCAGCGGGCTGGCCTAACGCTGTGCTGTTTGAGTCGTTCAAGAGCACCCATACAAACACCACCCCACGCCCCAAGGTTCCACTTGCAGCAAAGCGCGCCCTGCAGGCCGCCAACCACCTGGACATGCAGCTGTATGAGTATGCAGTGCAGCTGTTCCTCAGGCGCGGCAGTCAGGCAGCAGCACGGCAGGCACTGGCAAGCCAATAACTGTGAGAGAGCGGCTGGCTGTTGGCAAGCGCAGCCCATTTTCAAGCCAGCTTAGGACCAGCTGAATGCTCATTTAGGGCGTACTGCCAGTTGCCTTCCTTCAATTGAAATTTTATTGAGCAGCACTGCAATCAAGAATTGAAGCAGAGAAAAACAAGAGGATGTGTAGAGAGGTGAAGGCAGCAGCTGCAACAACTACTGAAAACAAAGGACGCATGGTACGGTTCAGGAATGCAGTGCCATGTAGGGCCCTCATCTGCATTCATCGCCATTGACTTGCCAAACCTTAGGGCTGAAGCAATAGATTGCGCCTAGGGATACGAATTTCTAGATGTTGATGCATGCCCGCGACAGTGGATGTGGGCCTTGCCATCCTACCGCCACTGAGCCTGGGTTCTGCTGCCTGATATTGGCTGGCTCGATGGATTTATTTCAGATCTGGAGCACAGAGCAGCATCATGGAAAAGGATGTAGCAAAAATGCATAGGCGTAAAGGTTCGAGCGAAAATCATAAGAGCGAAATAATGGTGGTGCCCTCATCCGGGGTCAGTCGCATTGCTTGGCTGCTGGTCAAGGGCATGGGGGTAGAGCAGCCGCAGGTCGGCGCCATACACGCGCTGTATGGAGCGGCGGCAGCGTTCGTGCCTGCCACTGTAAAACTGCTGCATCGAGCAGTAGGATGACTCCTTGGCGATGATGCTGGTGAAGTTCTGGACCACGCCAAAAAAGCTGGCCGGGCGTCCGCTGACCCGATGCCGCGCCGAGAGCTGCACGCTTTCACAGGGCACGCCAGTGTTGGACGGCCGCACCAGAGGCATCCTGTCTGGAATGGCCACCGCTGGCATGCCTGCCGGCCGACGTCGGTTAATCTCCGTTAGCACCTCCGCCATGTCAGTATCCAGCTGCTCCGCCCGTGCCACATAGTCCACTACCAACCTGCTCCAGAAAAGCACCCACAAGCGGCAGGTAAGCGGACCAGCATCACGATCAGCGGCATGCAGCGGCTGGCAGCTTTTACAGAGCCAAGAAGCGCAGCAGTGCGCACCCGCCAGCCTCTGTCGTCATGCACCGCACTTGGTCCAAGATGTGGGCAAAAGAGAAGAGGGGGGTGAAGGGGCAGCACTGCCGGTTCGCCCGGCACACCTGCCCCGCAAGCACAGGGTCGGCACAGAAGCCCTTCCAGTCCATCTACGAAGGAAGGGACAGGGTCGAAGGGGCTTGGTGAGAAGCTAAACAATCCTGGTTGGGGGCAACACTGATTGGCTGCGACTAGCGGCTGGCGCAATGCATGTGCGGGACCCTCTCCCCTCTGTGCTGCAAGTGACTTTCAGGTCAATATGCTCCCCTCCCCCTCGTCTTGCCGCTGCTCACCAGGTCCTTGCACTCCTCCCTGTCTGCCGACATTGCGCTCAACAGGAACTTGTAGCTGCTGACAGCGCGGGCCAGCGGGTTGCGCACCACCGTGAACACAAAGTAGTCGCGCCACATGGCGTCAATGTCTGCCGCCGTGGTGTTGACCACAGACGAGGTGGACTTGGCGCCCCCATTCCACATTTCCAGGCAGAAGGCTGCAAGGCGCAGCGGCAGGGGCAGACTGGCTGGATGCCACTGGCAGGTTCATGCACGAGATCGGACACAGCAGCATGGTAGGCACCAACTCACGCTTTGCATCAACCTCGTTGCACAGTGTGAAAGTATTCAGAATTGAGGTGGAGGCAGCCTTGGGGTGCCTCACGAAGATCACCTTGTAGGCATGGCTCTGCAGGGCCAACAGGTGAGGCGAAAGAGGACAGTTGGCAGGAAGGCCTGTGGCATGCAGCCTGCCGAACTGCTGCAAATCCCACAAGCGCCTGCTGCCACACAGGTTTGCTCAGACAGCCTCGGGCATGCGGCCCCCTTCTCCCTCGACCGCCAAACAGGCCGCAGCTCACCGCCAAGACAGCACAGCCAGGCGACACGTGGGGCGATAGTGTAGGCTTAGCTGGCCGGCGCTTGCGGGTTGTGATCCACCGGAGGAACTTCGCATTGTTCTCATTGACATGTCGCGGGTGCCACCGGTCCTGTGCCAGCACGCCCAACTTGTTGACAAAGCCGTGCAGCTGCGGCGTGGCGCCGGTGAAGGCAACCGCCTCTGCCGCCGCCGTCGCCGCCGACTCCCGGGCGTGCGCCGCCCTCCTCTCACGCCGCGCCTGCGAGCTGCTCCATACGTAGGGCCAGCTAAAATAGCAGAGGAACAGCAGCAGCGGGACGAGGCGAGAGAGGTGCCGTTGGGGCGGCCGCCCATATGCCGGCTTCACGGCAACCATATCGCGTCCATGGAACGAAGCGCAGCAGGGTGCGCAAAAGGGTGCCAACAGGTGCTCCAGCCAACTTCTGCCAGCTGCTGATTGCTGGCGATAGCTCTAGAACTAGCAGAAGATATGCAAGCACCGGCGATGCGGACAGGTGCACCGTCAAACACATGCAGAGCCCTCATCCCCCTATAGGTGGTACCGGCCACCCCTCGCTGCGCCCGCTGTGGCTACAGGTGCCGGCGGCCTGGCGTGGTTGGGCGCCTGGCGCTGGCCGCCTTGGCTGGGCCAGCCTTTCCCCACACCTCTTCGTGTCAAAACTGCCGTTGAGCCCCCCCAGCCACCCCCCCCCAGCCCCTTGGCCGCGTGCCGACCTTGCCTTGCTAACGCGAGGCGCCGCCGGCGGGGAGCGGGAGGGCGGCGGCGGCTTCAAACAACACAGCCTCCGTCGCCAAGCTGGGGGGCTGTGCTGGCCTGGGCTGGCCAAGGCCAGCGTGCGCCTGGACCTCAACAGTGGCGGCAGCCCCCCGGCGTTCAGCGGGGCCCTGCCCCACAAGTAGGGTGGACGGCAGAGGCAGCGGAGCTGGGCCAGCCCCACACCCCCGACTGAGAACAACGCATGTCGGCGATTTGGAAGCTGCCCCTGCAGCTGACGCAGGCTGTGGGGAGCTGTCAGGCTGGCAACCAGGTCGGCTGCCGCCTCCCTACCACCACAGCCGCCAGCTTGGGTAAAATCCTGGCCCACGCATGCCCTCTGTTTTGAGGGGATGAGCTCAAAGGGCATCGTGAATGGGTGCAGATGGTGCTCGTCCTGGATTCCACCGCTCGGCGGCAGGCAGCAGCGGCGGCGTGGCCCACCCTCGCAGTGGCAGAGCGGCCAAAGACGGTTGCGGATGTGCCGACAGGGATACAATTGGTGCCAGAAAGCATTTGCAGCCTTTTGGCAACGGTGCCTCCTGCTCTCCCCTTATGCCTTGCAGAACAATCAATATTACTCAGAACAGGAGGTAGTACATAAATGAAAGTAGCAGATAACTAGGTTTGTACTCGGGGAATAAAACTTGCACGCAATCCTGGGGCCACCAGCTCATCCGGGACTCCTGCTAACCGCGCGAGCCGCCAGGTCTTTCAACACGCGCTGGGCGGTCAGCTTGGCCCCAATCAAGCAGAGAGGCACCCCATTGCCAGGCCTGGTTGAGGCACCCACGAAATAGAGGCCACGAATGCGCGAATCAACGTTGGACGGCCTGCGCACAACAATCGAAACGCTATTCTACGAATACACGAATCGTAGCTTGGCACAACAACCAGCAGCCCCAGCATCGACATCATGCGTGCGTACCTGAAGAGCGACAGCTGATCCAAGTCATGCCCCAGTCCAAAGGCGGCGCCGTGCCGCAAGCCGTACCGCTGCTGCCAGTCGGGTGGCGTTATCACCTCTTCGTGCTGGATGGATGATCCCACATCATCCCCCACCCCAGCTTCAGCAAAGGTCTGCAGTGCACTTGGGCAAGCAAGACGAGAAATGATGAGGCCCATGCCTCCTGTGGCAACATCCCCTGGTGGCCACACCAACATCTACTCTTTCACAGCGGCTTCGAAACATGCAGCACCAGCCACATGCTTCACCAACATGCTGCCAACTGACCTGCAAGATGCGCTCCCGCCCTGCTGCCACCAAGCTGCTGTAGTCACTGCCGCACTGTTGCTGGTTGGCCACAGGGAGGAGCACCATGATGCTGTCGCACCCTGGTGGCGCCGCCGAGCCGTCTGTCCTCGATGGAGCATGAACATAAAAATTTGGAGAATGCGGAAATTCCTTAGGTTGGGTTGCAGGCCGCCACGACTGCACCCATTCCTCAGACAGAAAGACGTTGTGGTGCGCTAGTCCCGCCAACTCACGATCAACGCACCAATTGTACCCTATCACGCCTGCGCTGTACTTGAGCCGCCCCAGCCGCTCATGCTGCTGCCTGGCATATGCGGCGACTGCAGGCGAGGGAGCGGCACGACCATCAGTGCTGCTGCTGCCGTCTGCTGCCGTGCCGCCGCTGCTGTTGCCGCCTTCCAGGAGCGGATACGCCGCTGCCAGGTCACGGTTGCAGACCACCACACTGGCAGCCAGCTGCTGCCCATCGGCCAGTTCCACTCCTGTGACCTGGCCGCCGGCTGGGTCGGTGCTGATGGCCACCACCTCGGCGCCCGTCTGGATCCGCACCCCACAGGACTCGGCCGCCCGACGCAGCCCGTCCCGCACCTGCGCCCCGCAAACGCTGGTGCAGCAAGGTGTCTGCGAGTGCAGCCCCTCTTCGGCTGTCTGAGCTGCACGAACATCAAACAGTGTCCTGTAGCTTGCCCACCTTTGTAAACCCTCCCAATGGATACCATATTCCTTGGGTCAGCTCCGTGCCCGCCAGCAAGCCAAACACGGCTGGGGCGGAGTAAGGTGTTAACCCAACATAAAGATTCTATACAGGGGGCAGGCCAGGGAAAGGGAGCAGCATGCTGTCTAGTTCTGCCAGGTCAGCAGCAGCCCACGTGGTGGGGTGTGGAATCGTGGTCACGCCCTGATAGCACCCACGCGCCCTGCCCAACTCATGCCCCACCTGCCAGCCCCATCTGCACACACCTGGAAGGTGAACATCGCCCTGAGGCGCTGGTCCTTGAAAAACTGTTTGAGCCGCCAGTCATGCTGACCCAGCAGATCCAGAACATTGATCTGCCCTAGGAAGGGCAGCAGGTCCTGCTCCGCGGCAGGCGACGGCGGCAGGTGAGCATTCGGGCAGGCGCGAAAGGAATGCTCCAGATCCACAGCCATAGGCTGTGCCCCCTCACCTGCAGCCCCTTGGCGTTGGCCAGCTCCTCAAAGTCTCGTTCAATAAAGTACGGGACGCCCATGCGCAGATGCATGCGGGCCATGCGCAGGAACCGCCTGCAGCAGGCCGGCACAGCAGGCAGCATGAGGAGCCGCATTCAAACCGGGTACTAGACATTCAGCCTACAGCGTACACCCGCCTGTATCCGTCGCCCGCGCCAGGCTCTACTGCCTCTAGCTGCGCCGCCATGTCTGCCTCATCATTCAACAGGTCCAGCTGGGAGAAAGGGGAGGGCTGGCGACCGCCACCTGCGAAGAAGACTCTGTAAGCCGGAGAAACCCTGGAAATGATGATGTCCTGCTCCTCCAGCGAGGTCCCCATGGCGGCAAAGGCCTCGCGGTACTTGTCTGGGAAGAGCAGCAGCGAGGGGCCGGGGTCATGGCGAAAGGCGCCGTCGGGGGAGACAACAGACTGCACACGGCCGCCGACCTGCATTGCACAGCGCCCACTAGGCTACCTGTCTCGTGGCATTGCGGGGACGAGGTGAATGTAGGTCTTACCTCTCCATTTTTCTCAACGACCGTAACGTCACACCCGTTCCGCGCCAGGCGGCCAGCGGCAGCAAGGCCTCCAGCTCCCGCCCCAATCACAACGACCCGGGGCGCCTTGCCCGCCGCTCCTACTGCCTGTGCCTGCACCCTCAGCCCCCGTCCCCTCCGCCTGGGTGGGTGCGACGCTGTGTTGTGTCCACGGAGTGTCGGAGCCACACCGTAGCAGCTAGCATTGCATTTATACATTGGGGGTATGCGATCGAGGACATCAGCGGCCGGTTTAAAAGCGCTGCCGACCTCCTGTACCGGTCGTCCTGCCTGTGGCTGGAGTTCAGCCCCTCTCCGTGAATCCTGAGCATACGGTCGATAGCTGGGAGGCCTTCGCGTGCTCTGATTTCTATTGCGCGCCACCAGCACGCCCAGAAGACCCCAGACCAGTGGCCGCAGGCTGCTAGGCGAGTGTCACGCACTGCTGGGGACCTCAGGGAGGCCACTCGCACCTACTGATTGCTCGATGCACCCCTGCACCGACTGCAGTTGCCACCGCCCGCTGCCGCCACCCCGCCCCTCCTCCGCCGCTGCTTCAGGCGGGGGCACCAATGGACCAGCAGGCTTTGGAGTACACTCGCAGCCATTACGATCGCCACTCCAACCAGGTGCAGTCCGCGCAGCAGCTCTTCCTGGTTGCAACAGCAAGGGCATGTATCTCGACGTGCATGGATGGTCATCGCCGGCCCCTCCAGAGGTGTTCTGCTCCTCCCTGCACCGCAAAATGCCGGGAGCCGTGCAACTCGTGCCGCAGTATGCCTCCACGGAGGAGGCTCTCAAGGCACGAGCGCAGGGCCCGGGGGCACCTTTGAAGAAGTTCCACAACGACATCAAGCGCCAGCTCATCAACAGGTGCGGGGGTGACCGCTGGCGCGTCGGCCGACCGCGCAGTCTGTTTGGCAGGCCGGCTTTGCAGGCATCGTCTTGGCTTCAGGGCACACTGGTGACTTTGGCAGCACCCATGGCTGGGGTGGAACTCCTCGGACTGCACACAGGGTGCATGCGGAGCTGGCCACCGCTCCGGGGCCCTGCAACCTCACCCTCGGTGGACACCCCCCCGCGAATGAGCAGGTTTGCGTCTGGCGCCGGCAGCCTGCTGGACTTTGCGTGCGGCCGCGGCGGCGACATCTGGAAGTGGATCGATGCGGGCATCCCCGTGGTGAAGGGAGTGGACCTGTCCCCAGGGGAGATTGAGGAGGCGCGCAAGCGGTGAGGGAGACGGCGGTTGGTGAGGATTCCAGGCGGCAGGGCATGTAGCCAAGAGATGAGCAGCGAGGTGCTGCATGGGCGAGCGCCCCTGGATTTACGCAGCAGATGCCGCCGCATGCGTGCCCCGATGTGACCCCTCCACTGCGCTGCTGTGGGCTGCAGATTTGCCGAGGCGGTAAAAAAGCGGCCCGGGCAGGAGCTGCGGTACGAGTTTGTGGACTCGTCGCTGCTGGGGACGGCAGAGTGGAAGGAGGCGGTGCAGTATGACGTCATCACCTGCATGTTTGCCATCCACTACTTCTTCGTTACAGAGCAGGCGCTGAAGCAGGTGCTGTGGGAGGCCGCCTGCTGGCTGTCAGATTGGCTGGGGCTGCCATACTTCCAACATCGCTGGAACGCTTTCATGGCCATCCCCTGCCATGTGCAGTTCCTGCACAACGTGTCCATCAACCTGAAGGATGGCGGCTACTTCTTCGGCACCGTGCCCGACGGCAAGCGCGTCAACGAGTGCATAAAAAGGTGGGGGAGCAGAGCAGGCGAGGGTCTGGCTGCACCACACTCTGCAGCTAGCTCACCGTCTGCATCGGCCCGCCCGCCTGCAGCCACAGGATTTACAAGTCGCCTATGCTGACGATAGAGGCGCACTGGCAAGGTGGCCCGGAGTGCTTTGGCAGCCCGTACATCTGTGCCATTGGCGACACGGTGACGGGAGGTGCGCTAGAGCCTCTCAGTATTGTTGCCAATTGTTGAGTTGTTGCTGCTATGTGTCGCCCTGCCGCCTCCACCAACACGACTCCCACACCACCAGCATGGCACCCACGCAGGCGAGAAGGGCACCAAGGGCTCTTTTGAATACCTGGTGTACAGCAATGTGCTGGCAGGAGTGGCGGCCCAGTACGGCCTCAAGCCAGTGCTCGACTATGGCGACCCGCAGCTGGCGCGCATGTTTCAGGAGGTAGGGAGGGGCAAGCCGGTGGTTGGAAGGCAGCACGTGGGTTAGTTCCAAAGGCAAGGCAAGGTTTCAACGTCTTGGGCATGTGTCAGCCAGTTGTGGGCAAGCTGACAACTCCAGCACCTTTCCCTTCTTGGCACATGTGAGCCAACAAGCCAACCAGCATGGCTTCGGATGTGCCGCTTGCCCACCCTCCTGCAGGCTGACGCCAGCAAGCCGTTGAAGCACTTCAAGCCCCACTTCCCAAACAGTGACCCCAGCCTGGAGCGCGCCAGCTCCCTCTTTGCCGCATTTGTGTTCCAGAAAACTGGTGGCACGCCAGTGGCGCCTGGCATGAATGGCACGCAGCAGCAGCAGCAGCAGCAGCAAGAGGAGCAGCAGCAACAAGGCGGGGGACACAAGCGGAGTAGGGAGGAAGAAGGGCAGGTAGCAGGGGCGCAGCGGCCAATGCAGCGGCGGCGGCCTGGTCTGCTCAAGCCCCCTGCGCAGCCGCAAGTGCCTGCGCCAGAGGAGGAGGGAGGCATGGCGGGCAAGCAGCAGCAGCAGGAAGAAGAGCATAACGAGCAGAAGGAAGAGCAGCAAGCAGATGAGCAGCAAGGAGACAAGGGTGGTGAATGAATGATTGCTTCTCTGTTGCTGGTGCTAACCCCGGCAGTGGGCGGTGGTTGGGAGTTGGTTGATTACACGGCGAGATTGATTGAATGAATCAAGGAATGCGGATAGAGTGCGAGTGCTGCCCTGTTGCAGGCAATGCTGTAAACGTTTCCCCAAGCTGGCTGGCGCTCAAGCCGCGCTGACCATCACGATCCGATCGGCACAGAAATCGAGGTTGGGGGTGTCGCTGGAGCATCCAGCCATGTTCTGTAAGCAGCTGCCAATCGTCAGACGGTCGGCCTTATGAGCGCCGCCGGCGTCCTGTGCCGAGGCGTCAGGAAGGAAGTCTCGCATACTCACTTTGACCGGGGTCCATGAACCGGCAGCAATGGCCGCAAGGAGGCCATCCTTTGATTTGCCCTCGCCAGCCTGCCCCTCCAGCACTTGTCCCAGCGACAGAGTGCGAGTTATTGTGTAGCCCCTGGTTGGGCTGCTGTTTTCGAATTGCAGTTCAAGGCTGGACAGGGCGGCGGCGCTGGTGTTTCCGCTGCCCCTCATGAAGAAGCCCAGGGTGGCGTCCAGCGCGAACGGGATGTTTGACTTTAGAGACAAAGCGCCAAATGGCTGCACCGACAGGCACAGCGCAAAGCGCTCCCCTGCAAACAATGGGGGACCTTCAGTTTTTGTACACTTTACTCTTCAATCCCAAATGGCATTGCTGCCTGCCTGGCATGGGGGCGCGCTCATCCCTCTGGTTCAGCGCCGAAATCCCCCAACTCCAGGACCGCCAAACGAGCTCGCCGCCGCTGTAGATGACCGCCACCGAACCTGGCGATGCCAGCAGCGCCCGCACGTAGTGCGGGTGCTCTTCTGTTGGCCGCTGGGCGCGGCCCAGCGCACATACGCTGGCTGCCAGCACCAAGAAAGCGGCGGCAAATGTGCGGCGGCAAACCATGGCTACAGGAGCAGTGGAGTTGGCGCTGCACGCGCCAGTGAGGGGCGGAAGGCCAGCGTGTTAGTATGAAAGTAGACGCTGCTGGAAGCAAGGCTCGACCAAGCCCACAAGCACAGCTCCAGGGCAGAGCAGCAGGCACCCCTGCTCACCTCGCTCGCACGAGTCGGAGACGTGCGATCGCAAGCGTGCGTGATTTTGAAATGGGCTATAAGCTTTCGCAGGTCATTGCAGGTCGACAAGGTGGTGCTCAAACCTAGGCAGTGTCGCCCTGGGGCCACATCAGCGTCACGCCGCCTGTGGACACCCGGATAGCATGGAGCAAGCTCCATCTCGCCGTTTCAGCCAGAGTGGCATATTGTCATCCCCACTAACTCCTGATTAAAACATCGCCCCGTATCACCGCCACCTGGCCTACTCGCTGTTGCTGTGACTTACAATCTAGGGGCCTATCTACAAGAAGCTGGCATGGAAGCCATGCCAAAAAGAACAGGGGAGCAAAGGGGGCGGCGGCGCACAGGCGCCGGATATCGATGCGGTTATCGATGCGCTCACAGAACCTCTCGATGTACAAATGATATCATGTTGATGGATGCCGCAGGCTGCTGTTGGTAGGGCAGCTTGCTTTGCGGCGGCAGAAACATGCAAGCGGCGCGAGGCGACAGAGACTGGCAATTTTCTAGAGCAACTCCACTCCCGAAACACCGAAGAGAAAAAGACCGAGAACAGAAGAGGAACCGCAGCTGGAGCGCTGGCGACTGGGCCGTGGAGGCCAGGTGCCAGAGGGGGCTGGGCGCGCCGAGGGGGAAGGCGCGGCCGGCCAGAAAAAAAGCACCCAGCAGGGCAACGGAGAAGAGTGCCAAAAGCAAGAGGGGGAGGTAGACGGGCGCTACATGAAATGGGGGTGAGTTTGCAGGCGGGGTGCATTGCCTCCAGAAGGTGCGTGCCGGCGACGGCAAATGGAGACGGCAAATGGAGCAGGATAGCAGTCCTGAGCAGCCGTGCGAGGGTGCCTGATCGCCGGTGCAGCAAGGCAAAGCATGTGGGACAGGCTCGGGTTGTATGTAGACCAAGTAAAGCATCTGTGCGGCTGGTGAAACAGCAGTACATGATGAATGACGATGCTCTCATCAGATGGTGTTGGTAGCTGGTAGCAAAGGGGGTGCACGGCAGATCACGAGCCTGCCGCCGCCTGCGCGCAGCTTCTTGTGCTGCTGGGAGGCGAGTGCGAGCCGGCCACTACCAAGGCTGATGTGCGATGTCGCCGCCTCCAGGGGCGGCGGCAAGCCTGGGGCTTATGCTGCTGCCGCTGGGGGCGGGATGGCGCCAGCCGACAGCAGCGCGTCCTGCACAATCTCTGGCTGGCGGTGGCCGCTGCACAGCAGCAGAAGGCAGAGCGGGGTGGTTAGTCTGGTCGGGGAGAGCGTACTACAACAGGGGAGACTAGCAGCCTGCACTGGGGAGTCGGGCAGCACACGAGCGTCGCCTGCGTGCCCCCATGTCCACCCCGCCCAGCCCAGGCTGCTGCCCCCCAGCCCCGCACGCACCTGAGAAGCGCCGCGGTGGAGATGGAGGCGGCTGGAGCGGCGCCGCCGCTGGCAGCCGCGCCACGCTCCGCCTGCTGCGCGTGCGGCGGCACCAGGCTGGGCTGCTGCCAGGGCTGGCGCCGGACCTGGGCCAGCAGCTTCTCGGCATCCATGCGCGTGTGCCATGCATTAATGTCTTCCACATCACAGACCAGCGCAGCCTCAAGCTGCTCCACCCCCTCCTGCACCTGCCCCAGCTCCAAGTGCACGCGCCCTGCCTCCACCCTGCAGCCAGCACGTCAAGCTGTGGTGCTGACAAACGCCTCGCCGCGGAGCGCACGTCCCCGCATTTCAAAGGCATGTCACGGCACCCCAGCTGGACGCCACCCGCCACTGCTGCAGAGCTGCAAAGCACCTCCCCGCCCCTCCTCCAGGCTCACTTGTGGATCAGGCGGCCGGGCGCCAGCTGGGCGGCGCGCCTGTACGAGGCCAGCGCATCCTGGCGCGTGCCCGGGGCCAGCGCCGTCCCATACATGATGCGCACCAGGGTGCGCAGCACCACGTTGATCTGCGCCATCTCGTAGTGCCAGCGCCCCATGAGGTGGTGCGCCACGTCGCTGCCGGGGTCGCACTCAATGGCGGTGTAGGCGCACTGCTGCGCCTCCTTGGCCAGCCGCACCTGCGCCAGCACAACAAGCGGCACCACCGGTGTGACGCACAGGGCTGGAGGGCAAGCCGCTGGCCAGATGCATGCATGTGACAGACAGCGCCCTGGGGCGTCAGCCCATGCCAACCCGCCACCAAACCGCACCCTGCACCCACCTTGGTCTTGTTGTCGGTGAACAGCGCCAGGCGGCCCTTGCTGATGCACATGGCTACGTGGCCATACACCAGCTGCGGGTGTGCCTCGATGCACTGCAGGCGGGCAGGCAGGCGGGCCGGCCACGGCATAGGCAAGCGGCGTGGGGCTGAGCAGCACGCTCCCATGGCACCTCCCGCCACCTACCCAACTGCCAGCGATATCCGCACGCGCAGCTCGCACAACACAGCACCGGGCGCAGCTGCTGCGCTCCGCCATCCCGCGCTGCAGCCACCCAGGCAGGCAAGCGGCGAGGCCCAGTCGCGCCTTCTCCGCATACTCCATGGCCTTGAGGTTGACCAGCTGGCGCTCGCGGTCGGAGCGCACATCGTAGTAAAACGTCAGGTCACTCCAGCACTTTGCCGCCATGGACAGGTAGGCAGCCGACTCAGGCACAAGCTTGCAGGCCTCCTCGAAGCACTGTGGGTGGGGCGGGAAACAGGGGCGCGCGTTTCAAACCGTGTGCAGCGGGTGCGGCAGCGGACAAGTGCGGGGCAGGCAGGCGCTGCAAAGAAGGTTGCCGTCTCCTTGGTGCGTGCAGGAGGCCGGGTGGACCTCACCTGCACCGCGGCGCGCACATCCAGCGTGCGCTCGTACTCGTGGCCTCGCGCCGACAGCGCCTTGGCCAGTGCGGCCGCCTCGCGCGAGGCCCTGCAAGCGGACAGACAGAATGAGGGGCGCGGCACGCAGACAGCATGCCAGTCAGTGCATGGCAAGGACGACTTGGCAGCAGGGTGTGCAGGGAAGCCCAGCGCCAGGAAGCTTGCTGACGCCACGCCCCGTTTGAATTATGCGCGTGCCAACCCGTACCGCTGCTGCCGAGAGCCTCCCACCGCCTCCCGGCGGCTGCCCACCTGCGCGAGCCGCTGCGTGCCCCAGCGTTCCAGGGCAGCTTGAAGCTCTGGTAGAAGGGCAGGGTCTGGGATCCGCGGCCAGGGCGCGCGCTCGCCAGGCGCTGCGCCGCCTGGCTTATCGCCGCCACCAGAACGCCGCCGGCCACCGCCGCCGCTCGCTGGAGCTGGGCCCCGGCAGCCCCCAGGTCGGGCCTGGGCAGCACGTGGTGCCGTGGGTGGCGCCCCCGCGGGCTGGTGCCGCCTGGAGAGGGGTTCCCGCGGCGCTGCACCGCGTTCTTCAGGTCGGATAGCGGGCCTGGCAGGCGCACCGCCAGACGGGGAGGCCTGGGCCCTCCCTGGTCGCTGCTGCTGCTGCTGATGCTTGCCAGCAGCATATTACGGCCCCCATGCGCCGCATCCTGAAGCGCCCATGTGGTGGGCTCCATATCCAGCTACACGGGCAGCCTCCGCTGCCCTGGCTGCTTGTGATAGGGCCAGGCCGTCGTGGGCAGTAGCTTGTCGGGGTGTCGGGGAGCGTGGGGCAGTGGAGCCTCTGATAGCCAAGCGGTTGGTTCAGCTCTCTAGGCGCGTGTGGAGAGACTGGCCAGCTGGGGAATCGAATGGATTGGTACAGCAGGCAATTAGGCGGTGGGAAACTTTTTCTGACCAAGTGCCACGAGTCTACCCCCGTGATGTCGGAGCCGATGCGAAGAAGCTAAATTTGCTTGGGCACCGCTCTTGCATAGGGCGCCCAGCAGCGCCGCCGCCGCCGCCGCCGCCTAGGCAAGGGGCCGGGGGCAGGCGGGCGATGACGCCGCTCCCCCTCCATGCCTGGTTTCTGCGGCGGGGCTTGCAGTCATGGTTGCCGGAGGTGAGATGGCTCCATGAGACCCCTGCACCTGTACCAGACACGGGCATATCATAGTCATGAGGCATCTGCCCGACATGAAGGCATCTGCCCGACATTTGGGAGCCCTCAAGCGCTGACAGCAGGACGGACATGGCAGGAGTCCGGTACCGCTCTGCTGCCGCACCAGAGCTCAGAAGCCGGCAAACAGGTCGATGTAGCCCGACTGCAGCACGAAGATGAGGATGACTGCCAGGTTGTCTGCAGGCAAGCAGGCGGGTGTGCAGAGCAGTGCACAGGTGCAGGGGCTCAGGGGGCTGGGATGCGCCTTGCAGGCGCACGATGGGCACGCGGCATTCGCCAGCGGCCGGCACTCACAGAGCAGGAAGAGCAGGCCCAGCGACGTGCGGTCCACCACCCAGGCAACGTAAGCATCGTAGGCGGAGTTGGCAGACAGGCTCTGAGGCAGATGACAGTGCAGGGAGAGGGGGAGGGGAGGGGCCATGTTGCATGAGCCTCGTCATGCCGGCAGTCGCGAAGCCGATGGCATGCGCAGCGCCAAGTGCCACACCTGCAGGCGTGTGAGCTTTCCTGGCTGCCTGGCGTGGGCCCTGCCAGCGCTGAGGCCGCTGCCGGCATGCTCCAGCTCCTCCGGCTGCTTGCCGGGCAGACCCAGGCTGCCCCCGCTCGCAATCGCTGCCTCTGCCTGTGCGGCTCCCGCCGCTGCTGCTCGCGCCCTGCGGCTGCCCAGGTGGCGCTCGTGCGCCAGGCGTCGCTGCCGCGCGCACTCTTCCATCTCCTTCCACGTCTCGATGTGATAGACCTGCATGGCGCAGGTGGACCTGCATACGCGCGTCGGTGCGGATGCCAGGCTTGCTGCAGGCAGGCAGAACTTAGCATGCATGATTAAGGCAGCGGCACGACCCCAGCTTGCCACGATCGACTCCACCGCCATCAGAACCCGAAGGCAGTAAGTGGGGAAGAACTGCTGCTTGGTGGGCAAGCCGTAACTTCTTGTTAGTTGGTTGGCGGAAAAGAACAAATGGGCAAGTAAGGGCCGGGGTGAACCAATGGGGGTGGGTTCCCTGCTTGCATCGGGGAGGGGGACTGGCAGCAGTTTCTGGCTGGGACGGCCGCCAGCGCCAAAAAAAGCGTTATAAGCAGGCTGCCAGGACCAGGCCACGCAGCGAAGCGCGCCATGCAGGGAGGTACAGGGCATCATGGCAGGCGCAGACAGCCAGGCAAGCAGCAGTGGCACCCAGGCGCGTGGCCAAGTCCTTGCGATGGATGAAGAACACAACGAAGGCGATCCAGCCCAGCAGCGCCACCTGCTCAGGCAGCTCAGAACGCAATGCGTTGGCAGAGGCCCATTGAGCATGTCAACGGATGGTCAGACAATGTGAGGCCCGCACACGCACCGGGAGGATGGCATTCAGCAGGTGATAGCGCCAGAAGCGCTGGATGAGCACCTTGACAAACAGCATGCGCACCACGTGGCCCCCGCTGGCGCTGCTCAGCCCGGGCAGGCTGGAGCGCAGCACTGCGGCCTGCCCGGAGCCCAGGGGCAGCGGGTCCAGCGGGTCGCTGGGTGCAATGGAGGTAGACTGTGGCATGTGCGGCGGTGGGTGGGTGTGGGTGCGCGACAACAATGGTGGTTGTAGAGGTGTGGTGTGGTGGGGGGGAGACGGGGGCTGCGAGCCAGCAGTAGGTGGTGCAGACAGCGGGACACCAAGGCGCCGGCCAGCATGCAATTGCAAATCTCCCTTGCCTTGAAGAAGCTGACTGAATTGATGTTGTCAATCAGCGAGAGGCTGAGGTTCTCGACGCTCCAGTCGCTAACGTCATCGCCCTGCCCGTACCTGCCCGTAGCACGCACAGCATGAAGCGTCAGGGGAAGCAGGGGCATTGGCAATGTGTATGGCGCAATGGACAGAGCAAGAGGACAGCATGCGGGGTGCATGTGCTTAGGGGTGCGTGGGGAGGGCGGGGGCTCACGTGTAAAGGTGGGTGCCTGCGCTGCTCAGATGCACGGTCACCCCAGCGTGCGGCGGCTGGCTGGTGTCCAGGAACTCGAGGGCGAGGAGGAGGTCGAAGGAGTCGAAGGGGAAGTGCGATAGCGACATCGGCTGGAGAATGGAGGCCAGAGCAGACCGGGGGGCAGCATCAGAGGTCAGCCGAGCAGGGAACGTGCGGAGGCCCAGGGCGGGGGTGCAGGAGGTGCGGCAGCAGCAGCAGCCGCACCTGGTACCACACACCCTGCACCACCTGCGTCCATAGCACGCTGCTGTTGGGCGGGGGCAGAGTGTAGATTTTGTACCCGGTGGCGCGGTCCTGGGGGAAGGCCAGGGCATTGCTGCGGCAGAGGGGTGGCTTGCAAGCGGCAGGGGCATGGCACCTAGAACGATGCATGCTGGGAGGTGCCCCCGCAGTGGACAGGCATGGCAGCAGCGCCGCAGCCTGCACCGACAGGAGCATGGTACTGAAGCACAGCAGCTCACCGGAAGAAGAAGGAGGGGATGTAGATGCCTGCGCAGCATAGGGCTGCGATCGACAAAATGCAATGCGACGTCATGCAGCCGCTCCCGCACGCAGGCAGCGCCCGTCGCCCTCACCGTCGCAGCAGCTGACGTTCCGTGTCCAGTCGGTGCAGGGGAACTGGCACTCACGCTCCCCTGCGCACGCACACAGCCAGCCAAACACCGAGTCCGAGCCGGCAAAGCAGACACAGAAGACGGGGCGCCGGCAGGCAGGCACATGCCCGCCATCCCGTACCCGCCTCCACCGCTGCCGTGGCGTTCTGCACTGCATAGTAGGCCTGGCTGTCAGGCCAGGAAAGGTAAAATATGTATACACCAGCATGGTGGTACACCTGGTCGTCCACTGCATGCATGCGCAGCAGCGGGTTGGAGATGGCCAGGCCAATTTTCAGTGGCACACCCGCCCTCCCTCCTCGCCTGCAGGCAGGCCTGCCCCTCTTCCATTGTAGCTATCAATTCTCACCGCGAAGAAGGCGGTCAAGGTAGCAGCTGACAAACACGTCTCGTGTCTCCAGGCGGGGGCTGCCCTGCCCCGCAAGTGGCGACGTCATCTGCCCGGCCACCCCTTGCGGCACCAACATCAGCACTGCGCAGGCCAACAGCAGCAGTGAGTCCAGCAGCTTGGCTGCTGCTGCTGCTGCCGGCGGGGCTTGTGCTCTGCAGGGGGCCAGCATAGTGGAGAGGCTGGCAGGAGCTACTGATGACTGCTGAGGGCTGGGACGCTGCAGGAGTGGTCCAAGGTTAAACCAACGCTGCAATCTCAACCCCGCCAGCTGTTAACATTATGCTGCTGCGCACCTGAGCATGCTTACATGGGCATTTCAGCATCTGGTTGCCCCCTTTCACCTCTTTACAGAACTGCTGATGTGCATGAACCAACTGAGCAGGGTTGGTCGTGGCGGCGGGGCGCAGCGGCGCCGGTTTGACGTGGCGTTTGGCGAGCATTGTTTGGCTAGCATGCGCTGACCATAGCGGCGACCCTTTAAATAGGCGAGGCACCTCAATTTTGTTGGCATCTTGCCCTGTGGGCATGCGGTTGTTGCCCTGTGGGCAACCAGCAGGTTTGCTCTTGCCGCCGCCACGTCAGCGAGAGCCCTGGTCCAGCGCACCACATCGTTCTAGGGCCATGGGCAGCGCACCACGGATCATTTCTGGTGGCAGCTTGGATCGAGGCACATCCCTTGCTGACGCGGGGGGACTCCGCTTGAAGCTCTATCTGCAGTGACGGGCCGCTCCCCCACGTTCGTTTCCAGACGCCAGCTTCAATCTCAAGCACAGCTACCTCAATCCAACGCGCCCAAGGGCAGGGCGCCAGCCCTGATCAGTTTTGCCGATGCCGAAACGTGGGTTGGCGGGGAGCCAGGCCTTGAAACCATGTGCCTGCAGGTTCCCAAGAAATCTGCCTCTACTGCCGCCTGCACTGCAGGGCGGCGGGGCGCCGGTGGCGGGCAGCAGGCCGCGGCGGCGGCGGCAGCACCTGCCGGAGCGGGTGTTGGTGCACAGCCAGCAGAGTAGACGGTGGAGCAGGTGCTTGAGTCCCTGCTGCAAGGCGCTGCGGCCGCAGTGCGCCCGGTGACCAAGGAGGAGCTGCGAG